CGCCGCCGCCGCCTCCTCCTCCCCCTCCTCCGCCACCTCCTCCTCCTCCTCCCCCTCCCATGCTTCCACCTCCTCCTGATGCTGGAGGCGGTAAGGTCTGGCCTCCCCCATACCCTGGCGGGTATCCATAGGGCTCGGCCTGCCAGTCTCCTCCATACGTCGGGGCGTCCATTCTACGCAATGCAGCCATACGGGTCACCTCATAACATTCTGGGCACTTGCAGCAGTGGTGATGTTTGTGCATGCTGGCTAGGGCTGAATTAGAGCCGAGCGGCGTGGCACTCTCTGTGTCTGCTGCTGCGTCCTCAGATCTTGCACGGCGCTCGCTGTGATCAGCTCACACAGCGATAATGGCAGCAGAAATAACGCCAATCACAGGAATTTCTGCAGGTCTTCCCTTTTTGAATCCTGTCACTCCTCTCTTAATCCCTCTGTGTTGGCAGTAAAAAAAAATAATGTAGAGGGCTGGAAGGCAGCAACAGGAAAAGAAATATGAAAATGAGCACGTAGTCTTTGTCCTCTTGACGTAGAAGATCAAAGGAAATGTGGAAAATATTGTATACGAGCAAACAATCAGAGACCAGCCCCAAAGATAGAAATTCCTCCTGCTTCTTGCGGTTCACAGTGATAAGAATAGAAATTCATGTATAATTGTATACACATGTATATATATGTATATATATAGATAGATATATATATACACACACCAAAATGTATATACTTTTCTTTATATATTATATATATATTTACACACACAAATACATATATAAAAATATTGATATAAACAGACAAGCACAAATAACAGATATGTACAGGGTTAAATGTATATATATATATAAATATCTATATGTGTGTGTACAAATATATATATAGATATATAAACAATATATATATGTGTAAATAAATGATATCCTCAGATGAAAATCTTCTTCTCTTGATTCTCAGTATCTTCCCGGACAAAAGATCAAGGCTTTTCCTCCTGCGTTGACAAATCGCTGTCTTTCTCTCTCTGGCTCTTTTTCTTGGCTAGCAGAGAGGAGCTGAGCAGTGGATCGTCCCTCAGCCAGTGTGCCCTAGATGTGGATTATTCAGAGGGATGCGAACGAGCAAGAGGGAGGTGAAGAGAGAGAGAGAAAGGAAGAGAGAGAGAGGGAGAGAGAGGGGGGAGAGCGAGCGAGAGAAAGACAGAGAGACAGAGACAGAGAGAGAGAGAGAGAGAGAAATGCAGGGAGGGAGGGAGGATGAAGGGATCTTTAGCAGCATCCCTCCAGCACCTCAGCCCTGACAGCCACAGCCAATCAACTGGCAGCACTGCCATCAGCAGCAGCAGCAGCAGCAGCAGCAGCAGCAGCATCGACAGGACTGAGCGCTTCACTGGCTCTTCTTAAAGGGGCTGCTGCAGCTCAGTCTTACTCATTGCTGCTTGTTGAGTGAGTGACACATTTCAAATCGAAGCTACATCCACAAAGCAAAATGTTCAAAACACTGCATTTTCCTATTTATTTTAAAAAGGCAACATGAGTAATTATCACACATTAGAACCCAAATCTCCCAAAAATGGTGGAGTCAAATCCATGTTTTCCATCAAACCACTGCAGCCAAGGACCTACAGTGATCATACGTGTGTCTGGTCATTGGTCACATCCCTGGTCATCTCTAGTTCAGTTATTCACCTAACAGACTTCCTTGTGCTTCTACAGGCGGATAACCCCAAGCTACGTTTTACAGCACCCACGTGACAGTGACTAACAATTCGAGCTGTTAAAAATACCTTTTTTCCAAAGTGTCACACCTGCCTGCCAACAGATGGACCCTTGTTCTAACACTTTGTTCATGGTCAGAACAGGGGGAAAAAAAGTCCTCTTTAACAATCATGGGGAAAGAATATTGTATGTTTAACAGTGATGACACAAACACGTGTACAAAACCAACAAGATTACACGCTTGGGCTTTTTTGAGTGGGTGGAGGAAGAAATTGAGAGTGAGAATGTGTAAGAAGGAAGAAGACGCTAGAAGGTTTTCATGGATGAGTGTGTACGCAGTTATATTCTTAGTAATGCAACCGGACCAAACAGTATGCATCCATATGAATCAATATATTATCGAAAGCAGGAAATAAAACACTGGGACACCGAGGGTGAAGGTTCATTTCAGAAAAGGACTGTTATGGTGTCACTAATAAGAACCTGCCTATATGCATTATTTATGAAGTGTAGTGGAGGAACGGACAGGGTTGTATCTGCTGTGTGGATGCCCTCGTGTTTCAATAGTCATACATGGAATGCTGCACATTTTTTTGATTTCCACAGGAAACGCCAAAACCTGTCCAGAACAATTTGTAACTGAGCTCTTTTCTGGACAAACCACAGAGTACAACACTAGGGCACACTGGTGTGTGCTGCAGGTCCACCAGGAGGCACACACAGCAGGCTCAGCCACACTTAATTACATGCAACAGTAACTCACTTCATTATAATGATATTCTATCACTGTAACCTACAGAGAAGTGCTGAGAAAAGAACAAAAGGAAGAAATCTTTAAGGCTTTATTCAAACTGAAACCAAGGACTACCAACACGTGCATTGTAGTATTCAGGCATAAAGTCAAATCTAGCCAATCAGAGCGAGGAGGCGGGGCATTTCAGACCATTGCTTGGAAGAACAATACAAGTATATTGATCAAAGTGGCAACCATTCTTCTCCAGCTTTTCTCTGTCTCTCTTTTAACTGTCGTCACTGTATCTAATGTTCAGTGTGATCAGACAAATAAGTTCTAGAGAACAACGACAGTTTGAGAGTGAGAGGAATGCATCTAAAAAAGATTAGATAAAAAATATTCATACACTACAGGTACTGTTTATAAAACAATACTGAAGTAATAGTCCTAAAAATGAGGACCGACATTTACACTTTCTTACAGCCACCCATATTTGTCACAAGTTTTTGCAGGACGGCAGGACGGCTTGAAAAAGAACGTTTACAACTGTTTTTCTATCAGGGAAGTTGATGGGTTTTATTCGTTCTAATTTGTCCTTGGACATTTTCGTAAATCACTGTCCATGAGTGAATGGGAGAACAGTTGTCAAGTCTAGAAGGGTATTCAACTATAATGCAGCAAAATCTGGATTTGAACCAGATATATTGTTTAACCACTGTTTATTAGCCACAGGCTAATAAACAGTCGCGTAAGAACAACTGGTTTGCGTGATGATTGTTAATTTCTTATTTAAATTGCGTAGTTACCGTTATTCCGTTGAGTGAGATGTCCTCGTATTGGATTATGCAATATTGACGATTTAATCTGCAATTTATAAGGCAATTAAAGTGTCACATGTAGGATTATTTTACGGTTGGTGGTGCAGCACCAAGCAGAGGAGACACAATATTCTGTTACTGGCCCTGGATCAGTGGCCTCACAGCAATGAGAGCTATTGGCTGACATAGTACAGAACACAAAAACTATGCTGTAAAACATAGTCATGTCTAGAATAATAAAATGATTGGAAGATGCAAAAAAAGACCTTTGAGAAAAGCAGAAACACTTTAAAAAACATGACAGAAACCTATAGACAGTATCTATACCACAGACGTATGTTGAAATGCACACACGTATGAATGAGCCAGAGCTGTTTGTGTGTAGAAGCCTTGAGAAATACTGCGCCCAATTAAAGAGCTTGAACTGGAAAGCAGTGGATTAACAGCATACGGTGATTTATCTTGTGAAATGAAAGCAGTGACCTCTGACTTTCTGTTGACAAATGAAAAAAAGAAGGACCGGTGATTTATGGCATAAACAGGGGAATTATCTTGTGCTTTTGAACAGAGATGCGCCCCTGTTTCCTATATTGCTGTTTGTACAGCCTCTCCCTCCTCAACATTATCAGCTCTGCAACAGCCAACACAGCCCTTATTACATAAACCCACCTGGCCAACGAGCGCAGACAACGTATTGAGCTTTTCAGTAATTTTCTAGGCATTTCTCCGAGATGCTACAGTACATGACTACTCCTCTGTCACCTGACCGGATGTATCACCATAAAAGGGCAGTCGGCAGTGAGGCATTATTAAAGAGGCAACGCACACTGTGCCGCTTTGCTGTAGCATCTGTGAGAGGGGGGTGAAGGCATCATTACATCATAGCTGCTTCTTTCACAAATATTTAACAAATGGAAGATGTTCTTTGCTGAATACCCAACAATCGGATCCTTGTAAGAATATGTGGTTAAGAAGTAGAAGATAAGAAGTAAAATGAAGGTGGAAAAAGAAAGACTGAAAGCCAGTCTGTGCCTCAGTGTTGCTCTGAAAGACACAGCAACCTGCTGAAGAGCAACATCAAAGCTCTCACAGAGACGCAAAGAACACAGAAAGACGACACGACTAAAACTCTGTATTGAGCAGCCTCATGACACCGCTGCGTTCTGGAATAAAGAGAGATGGGAGAACATGTAGTAGAAAAGAATAGGAGGCACTGGAAAAGATGGCCCCACAGCTGCTGAAGAAGAAGATCAGTAGCTGAGAGAACAGCTACAGGAGAGTGATTCAATGTTTGGCCAAAATATGGTGGCTGGAAGGGATCAACTGAAGCACAGTACTGAGCATGACAGGGGAATAATAGAAAAATAGAAAGTAAATGTGCTTTTTCCGTTGTTTTTTTAAGTGTTTACATGTCCATGAATGTGTGTAATTATCATCATTCACCTTTCAATGCCACAGAGAGGGATGCATTTAAAATGGATGTGCTTGCTAAGTGTGCTTCATCAGTGATGTGTTTAGAACCTGTGTGTGTGTGTGCGCGTGTGTAAAGCTGAGCTAAAAGAGAGACAAGAAAAAAAGAAAGATGTGAATTACAAGAGGGAAGAAACAGACAAGATAAAAAACAGAAAAAGTGAGATGGGGGAGAAGCAGAGAGAGATAGTGATAGAGAGAAAGGAGAGAGAGAGGGAGGAAGAGAGAGAGAGAGAGAGTCAGATCAGTCTCTAGGGATGCAGGCGGGGGAGGAATGTGGTTTCCATGGCAACCGGAGGAAGGCTGAGCTCTGGGTGTCCGTTCCAGCTCTGCACTGCACCGGCCCTCGCCTCTCAGCCGCCTCGCTCTGTGTCCCTCTCTCTTACGCACACATGCCAGCCCAACCACTTTATCTTTCCCCCATTTCTTCCTCCCTTTATCCTGATCTTTGCAACTCCTCAACTACTTCACCTCCCCTTTTCATGCAACACGGAAGCTTGCCTCTGTTGTCCTTTTTTCTTTCTCGCCCTCTCTCTCTCTTTCACACATGCACGCTTAGAGAAAAGTGCACGAAGACCCATGCTGTCACCATATTCTCATCACATAAGCACACTGACTCTGTAAGCCTACAGCCTTTATCTCTCTCTCCCTCCTTTTCCTAAGACCCCCACCCCACATCCTCCTCCACCCACTGCACTAGTTCTGGGCTCAGCTGAGAAGCTGACGCCTGCGGCCACTCTGCTGCCATGTGCCACTGGCCGTGCTGTAATGGGGAAGCCATGTGAACACCAGGACCTTCAGCAATAAGAAGGGGCGGCAAACACACTGACATGTCTCTGTCATGTGTATACTGTATGAACACAAATCTCGCTGCTCTTAAAGGCAGAAGGCTGACCACAATGAGAATATTGCTTGACATTTTGGGAAATGTAGCCTTTTTTG